GTCGACGAGTCGATTTCGGAGAACGGCGAGATGAACTGGCAAGTCGACGAGTCGATTTCGGAGAACGGCGGGACGAACTGGCAAGTCGACGAGTCGATCAGATAGACCAGACATCCCAACCTGGCCTCTTGAATGTGGAAGTAACGATTGCAGATTTTTATCTTGGCTCTGCCTTCATAAATTTCGTTTCCTTCAGTATCTCATCCAATGAATGATTTATCAATGTACAAGTTCCTGATCTGGTTTCGATTCTACAATTACCGTGTTCTTCACCTGCAAGGATTAATTATTTGTTTCCAAAAACTAAGAGCTTTCATACTTTCACACAAAGTTGAATATTTGGACAATTTTATTTTAGATATGTAAATAAAGCCGCTCCGTGCGCTACTCCAGTGCATTGGTAAAGAAGCCCGCTTCTAATTGAGTTTGATGACAACTGACACACAGATACCGTGAACCACCGAGAGTCGCAATCCTTTCGGCAGCTTTTAACATATCGCTTTTTTTTCTCTGAGGTTTCATTCTTCTCGTACCGAAAATAACACTGTCAAAGGACCATTGCTCGAGACGTGTCCCAAGGTCACGTCTCAAGCAAAAGCGAAGGATTATTTCATGAAAGCGTCGCGCGTCGTGTAACGTGGTGTTAAGTTACGCGAGAAACCGTTGAGAATTTGAATGCGTTATGAGGAATAGTATGGGGCACTAAATATGGTCCATTTAAAATGTTAATATTTCGGAATATTTAGTGTTTTAAATGGACCATATTTTACTCCCCATACTATTCCTTATAACGCATTCAAATTCTCAACGGTCGCTCGTGTAATTTAACACTGCGTCACACAACGCGTGACAATTCAACACTGCGTCACACAACGCGTGACAATTTCATGAAATAATCCTTCGCCTTTGCTCGAGACGTGAGCTTGGGACGCCTGCGATCAACTCGGAAAAAAAATGATAAAACAAAACAACTAAAGTAAACATCTGGGTTTAATTTCTACTTGAAGACTCCCACTTCAAGCAAATGACATGTGATGTCATCGTGCTTGGAGGGAGTATGTCAGGATTGTAAATGACGGAGACACTCTTTTAACCATTTTCACGACTAAAGGCTAAAATTTGCCAATTTTTACGCCTAACGGCTAATTTTTTTGGTTCTTTTACGGCTGTCGGTTATGCCCATTGAGACCCTCATACAGCTGCTCTAATTTCCTCATCATCCTCTCTTCATGCAAAATTGATCTCAGGTTCTCCCAGTCATTCGCTCTTCCCCGGGCGGGCTCTCCATTTACACCCTTTTATCAGACGCATACAATTCAAAGAGTACCTTTCACAAACACTCGTTTCATCGACACAATTTCAACTGTATTCGAAAGCGAAATAAGCGATAAATTGGCTAAATGCCCGGTAACTGGGCACGGTCTCAAACAGACTAACTTCCCGACGATCAGAAATTTTCACAGAATTACAAATGAAAGGTTCTTTCAATCAGATGTTTTTTTTAGAAATGTGAAGCGATTCCAAAAATTTATTTGTGCTGTGACCGCGTCATACGCTTCTGATTAGACTGCCGGGCACGGTCTCGAATAGACTGCCCGGCAGTAAGAAATATTCAGCAAAATGTCATTGTAGCGTTTTATTTCGTAGATGGCACTTCAACCAGTTCTTTCTTTCAAAAAAAGGTCTTTCTTTAAGCCAGCGAATCAACATGGAAGTCAATAGGCTCCAGTACACTCACGGTATTTTGGTTTACCTAAAGTGTATATTCTCGACAGTAGCGGTGCAACTGATACTACCAAAGGCCCTGTTACATTTAATAAAAATAACAACTTCACTGAAGAAAAACGGGACAAGCCTTTTAAATCTATTCTCCGTGAAAAAGGTTTTCAGATATTTTCGACTGCAGGGTACAGTGTTTGGTCTACAGACTGTGCCCGGCTGTCCGCTGAAGTGTTTTTGTGATCCCATAGGCTCGGAAAATTGTCCTCTATAAACCAAAATAATTTTAGAATCACTTGGGATATCTTATCCAACATCGAAATTTCTGAATAGGATTATTTTAGGTTTCCCTCCAAATTTACATAACCGAAGCTGCGGGTGACCCCAGTAATGTCACGCCACAGTGGTCCCACTTACGTGGGCCCACGTAAAAACTTCATTTGAGATGTTTTTGTGTTTTAGCATGGTGCGTTCAGCTTGACCACTGAAAAGCCAACGCAGTTCTTAGAATCGCTTGGAATTTATGGGAAAACATCGAATACACTCAATAGGTGTCAATGAAGTTTTCAGTGACCTTTTGGGAGAAAATTTTTAAATGCTGGGCATTTGGTCAATAAAGTATGTATGTATGTATGTATGTTGGTCCATTTGAGATTGATCCACCGTAAACATAGAAGTCGAAAACCAAGCGGCATCCAAGCTCAGAATATTTGTTCACTAAAAAAACAAATTAATTTTTGGAATCGCTCCACATTTCTAAAAAACCATCTGGTATTCTTAAGAAGTTTAAAGGAACCTTTTAGCGGCGCTATGGTAAAAAATTCCATTTCTGACTGCCGGGCACTTTTTCTATTTAAGACCATGCCCAGCAGTCTGATAAGAACCGTTAATTAAGTGTCGACAACAGAGCGATGATGGAAGGTAAAGACTCGGAGAATTTGTCTACTGATAAAAGGAAATTCATTTTTGGAATCTCTTGACATTTCAAAAAGAACATCTGATATTCTTACGAAGTTTGAAGGAACCTTTCATTGCATATTCCGTGAAAATTTCTGACTGGCGGGCTTTTAGTCACAGCGTAACGACATCTAATTTGATTGTATTTAGAAATGTAACTGAAACTGTGCTTAGCAATTTTGAGTGGTCCTCTCATAGTTTTATCTGTTCAAAAAAAGGCATTGAAATGGCAGAAAAACCTGAGCTTACCTCTTATCCTCATTAAAAGATTATAAAGACAAAATTAAGGACGGCGATGGCAACAGTGACACGAAGATTACGTGGAATCTTATTTAAAGGACCTACTCATTTACTTCACTAAAATTATTAGGACAGTGCGCACGGCTATCTTTGTATTTCAGTCTACCCAATTTGATACAAGCTTTGCAATTTCCAAGCCACACGAGGCCATTGATCACTTTTAAATCTGGCTTTCCCTTTTTATCGTTTACTGCTCAAAGTTAGGCGAACGCAGAGCCCCGCCATAACCCTCGCGCAGTTCATAACTTCGTGTTGACGTAAGGACAACCTTTAAACTTTTTCCAGTTCAGTGATTCTTACATGATTCATAACATACAACATAAGGCTAAGGATGGGCCGATATGGTTTTCCTGAATCGATATGATACCGAGAACGATATTGACTTCATGGAGTTTAATGCAATGATAAATTACGTGATTTGATTGACTAAAAAAAAAAAACAAAAATAGGGCAGCTTGCAATGTTTAAGTTCTGCAGTGTTCAGTATTATGTAAAAGCGTCAGCAGGACAATAAAAACTTTGAAATCGGATTAAGGACTTACTTAAGTTGAAACACGTGGTCATTAATGAATCCACTCTTACAGCGCTCACACACCGCTTATACTGGTATAGTGCAGTGCTCATGGCCCAATGTTAAGCCCGGAGTTTTTTCGGCTCCCTGTTAGCGGCTGGTCGCTGGTGTAAGACAAAGGGTGGGCTGGTCACGTGCAGTACAGAAGCACCGACACTTTTCGCTAGTACCGATTTTTTTCGGTCTGACCTCGGTATTACCGGTTTCTTATAATTAGTAACGGTATCGGCCCATCATTCATAAAGTATTCACACGATTTGTTGGAGTGTATAGTCGCATTTTTTCAGGCCACATAGGTTTGACGTCGCCATTTGGTCGATTGTATATTTAGCTTTAGTACTTTTCACCACGACTTTCCAACATGGAAATTGATAAGGAGTGCGGAGGAATACGCAACTTTGAAGTTCATGGATACTTTGTGAGTCGATTTAAGGCATTTGTAGTTGCAATTCTGTTTGTTTCGCTTTTCATCACTGTGGTCGTGTTAGCTACATTGCTGGTTAACGAACGGGGGAAAGGAGATATCACTCGAGCGACAGGTGATCAAGCTGGAAATCAAGGTTGGTGGTGTAGTCGCAGTATATGGCAGTATTTCTAAGGCACTGCTTTAAACCGGTTCAAAAATAAGCCTATTTAGTGTTTACATTAGTCAAATCTCAATGTACGACTCGTTTGTGTTACAGCGACTTCGCTGAAATGATTTGTGCTTTGCCAAGCAATTATTTTGGCATTGACAGTTCTTATTTGAGATCATGAGTTTCAGCCACATCATCAGAAATAAAGAAGCCTGAGAAGACTCGGGTGTTTTTATTGCAGAAAGGCTCACTGTTATCGTGCTGGTTGTGTCACCGTTATCTAAAGTCACGCAACGCGTACATTCTCTGGGTGTAAAGCAGCTAAAATTGCAGCTTTTTGCGAAAATCCATGGTACGGGTAGAAAAAGCTTTGAAAATATCAATTTCCAATACTTATAGCAATCAGCAAATCTGGCTATCTCTGGAAATTCCAGCAGAATAAACTTGTTGCGCTGAAACCACGAGGTTCAACCCAGTAGTTTTACTTTAGTTTTGAACATTGATGACTGACGTAGTTTATTTGATCTATAGAGTTGTAGAAAATCGAAAATTGCGGTCGATTAGTTAAAGCAACAATCCGCCTGTAATTTATTGACAGGCTTCAAAAGGAAGTTGAAGCCATGCAACGTGTCTCAAATCTTAACGAGAATCCAGGTTGAGACTAGTAATTCTTACGTATGATGCACGATCCTCGCAGTAGAGAGCGCTATTTATGCGATAGCGAAAATCAGACCTGAAAAAAAAAAAGCCTGTACGGGATTCGAACCACTGACCTCTGCGATACTAGTGCAGCGCTCTACCAATTGAGCTAACAAGCCAACTGGGAGCAGGCCGTTAAGTTGATTCGTAATAAACATGTGATGATAAATCAGATACAATGAATATATGAAGTTCATATATTTTGAACTGCAGTATTAGATACGTATGATGCACGATCCTCGCAGAAGAGCGCGCTATTTATACGATAGCGAAAATCAGACCTGAAAAACATCAAATCCGTAACTAGTAATTCAGTGAAGAAGTGAAAGGTAATTTAATTAAAAGTCCCACCTTGCCCATCTTTTCTAAACCTGCAGCGTACTTACGCCGTTCTCAACTGAACCATAAATAGCTGAATTCAATGAATTAATTATCACAAAGTGTGGATGTCACGCGCGCTGTCGGCATCGTGTGAAAGAGCACGTTTTATCAGAGCACAAAACACAATCAATCAATCAATCAATCAATTTATTTAACGTGGTCAGAACGCTTAGCTAAAAGCTAGTTTACAGGTAAGCAACGAAATGAAAAGAGAAAAGGAAATTATAAAGCCTTGTGAAGGTATATAAATTTAAATAAATCGAGATTAAGAACTAGCTAATATTAAAATATAAGAATTTAACAATGTAATCACCGAGTTGAATATATAAAATGTAAACATTAAAAGCAGGAAATATAATTAAGGATAGATCCTCACCGCGCTAGAGTCCCGTGAGATCTAATTTTTTTAAGTAATTTTTAAAAGTAGTAAATGTTTGTATCTTTCGAGACTCGTCCGGTAAAGCGTTCCATAGTTTCGATGCAGCATATCTCCAGCATATCTCACAGAGCTGAGAGGTGAGCTAGCGCCTTCACGCCATCTGCCAATTTGTCCTTTCACCAATTTGGCCAGCAAATAGCAACAGAAGAATAAAGGTTTGTAAACATGCCAAGCCTTACAACGTGACCGAGACGAAAATCATTTCCTTAGAAAATGAAATGGATTGTCCGAGTATTGAAATTTTTTACGCTCAGTTAGCTTATCATTTCAGAGCGCGCAGTAATAAAGCTCACACAGCAAACACTTTTATAGTATATGTAGTTCCGTGTTTAAAAACAAAACAAGATTGACGTAAAATATAACCATGACATGGTGTCAGAGCAACAGTTACTGCGATCCTAACTCATCATAAGCAAGCCTCAGAAATTACATCGTCGTGAACAACTAAGAGCTTGCTCTGATATCCTTTCCGATGCATTGAATGGAAGGCCACATCAGTCACAGCAGCTGAGTTTGCTTTCGTTCCGTTTACTTTCAACCCGAGCAGTCTTCATGTTCCTTTGATTTCGGCTGTCATTAATTCATAAAACAAAGGTCTTGAGCAGTTTGTTTCCTAAGTTTCACGTTAAAAGAAAACTTGCGTGTTTTCATGAGCTACAATTCGGCCGGATTTCACTGAACTTTTCACTTCAGATTTTGTTTTCAGACTACAAAACCACAAGCAAAAGTTTTGAATTAGACATAGGAACTTTTTCAGTTGGTGAACTTTGATGGTTTGACATTTTGACAGCTTTCGTCTTACTCAACTAATCAGATTACTCGCACCTTTCTGACAAGGATTCCTATTGGCTTAGTTTATCGTGTTTTATGACAGCATAAAAAATACTGATGACCCTTCTGTTCGGTTCGAAAATTGTAATTTGTTTTGAAAACAGATGGAGGGAAATTTGACGGATTCTTTATTATAAAACAGATAAATAAGCCTCGCTGTTTTAAACCACTTGGGAAGTGACTAGGACAATCAAGCAGTGGGGAGAAACAGTCGACTACGATTCGTGTTTCTCGCTGCACTTCTTTCGTTCTCCAGCCGCTTCCTGCGTGCTTTGCAACAGAACAGAGCACAGTCAAGGCTTTTTTTATTTGTTAATTAAATATTCTCTAAATCACGGGTAAAGTAACAGCGAACAAAGGTTAAATTAACTGACCGGAAGCGAGCTTAGAAACCATTACAAAACTACTAACATTATATTCGGTTGTGAGCTAAAATTACACAGAATGTCTGCTGCATTATGACAATGAAGTTTCCCATTCAAAATATCAGATTTGCATTTCATAACGTATTCTTAAAATCCTGTGAAATTTAACATTCCCCCAATTTTAGGCGACTAAATTTCGTGAGAAGAAAAAGTTTCCTCACAGGTTTTGAAAAAAGGAATTTAAAAGGACACCTATGTGTTAACTTTGCATTTAGTTCAACCCTTTTATTGGCTACGCCAGGAGCCCATTATCCCTTGCCTACGCTTGTTCGAGCAAAATGGTTGTATGTTGGTCTCCCTACTCTTTCTCGCCTCTTATGGACCTTGACTTGCGATCCATGATGTAAAAGTGAATTTGCGTAATTCTGTGGCGGTTGTCCAGTGCCACCTTACTTTTGTGTTGAAGGTTAGCGTAATTTTTCAATTTTCAACGGGCCAAATCAGAAATCAAACGAAAAAAGATACAACTTAGCACGTAAATTTTTCATTCCTCTATTTACCATTCAAGTGCTCGAGAGGCAAAAGAGTGCAGTAAAATTTAAACATAAAAGTTTTCATAGGTATGGATTGGCCATGTATCATAACGTTTTTCTTTATTTGAAGAGCCCCACTTGAAACAAATGACTTGTGATGTAGTCGTGGTTGGAGGCGGTATATCAGGATTGTACATGGCGGAAACACTCATGCGGTTGAAGAAAGAAAACAACGTATGCTTGTTCGAGAAAGATTCCAGATTTGGTGGAAGGAACTACGACTTCAGGTTTCAACGAGCACCAAACATCAGTATTAGTAAGAAATGTAATATTTTTACAAATAAACAAATTGTCCGTTTTGAAGAGATTAATTCAGATTTCTCGAGCATGTGGCCAAGTTAAAAAAGATAATTTATGACTCTCCACGGGTTGAGGCGAATCAGGTACCTTGGTTGCAGCTCCATCCACAATAGTGCTCTATTCAAACAATAATAGCGGACTTGCTTCGAGAGCTAGTGGCCTTTCAAACCACAATTTAATTTTTTATTAGTACAAAGAAGACAAAATGCCCGTTATCACGATTTCTATGTTAAACTGAATCATACACGCTTTTCAATCGCGGTTCTTACTTTGATCTATCGGAGGAATGACGCATAGATAACAACCAATATAACATTTCTATCACATAAAACCAACAGATTCCGCATATTGTACTTCTGTACCGTAATAGATCACCGAAGACGCCAAAATCTGGTAAAATGAGGCGCCAATTTTTTTGTCCTTTAGTACCACATTTTGACGTTATCTGTGATGTAATACTGAACAGTACCACATTTTGACGTCATCTGCGATGTAATACTGAACAGACACACGGCTACCCAGAGTCTATGTGTTAATTAAAAGAAGGTTTTCTCGATTTATTAAATTACTCATTTGCCTTCTTATTGATCGATTTATCTGTTTGTTTATCAGATTTTATTGCGAAAGAGAAGGGTCTCTCTCTAATTACTGTCTCCTTTCAAGTTTTCGTAAAGCTTTACACTTACTTACTGAGTTTTATTTCCAAAAGATCTGGGGTCCTGGCGTGTGGATAGGAAAAACAAAAGAGTGATGTAAGGAAATATCTCTTATAGGTCTATTTATTGCTTAGCGCTTAATCATGATAACGGAATGATTATGAACCATTTTTAATTTGAGGAGGAAGTAATAATTGTTAAAAGGCCGAGTGACTTTACTAACTTCTTGAAAACTGACTTGTTAGTTACTTCTACAAAATTCGAGGACGAACACTGTTGTGAGAATAAATCTCCATATCTGGAAGTTCAAACATTTCAAACAGGCTTTGATTATGTGTTTCCCTTTACCTTTACAACTACTTGTTTTCCTGATCAGTGTTTGTCTGCTTGGTTTAGCCCGACTGTTTATCTTTCCATGGACCTTACCTTGTCTGTGTTTTGTCTCACCATACCTTGTTCTGTTTATGTATCTACCTGACAATATGTCTCTGTCTGTCCAAATCCACTTGCTTGTTTTAAAATAATTGACAAACGTTTGTCCTTATCTTGGTGTCAGGGATTTAGCAAGACGCCTCAACATCACCATGTTGTTCATTGGAAATCTCACAGACGTTTTTTTTCAAGCAAGAGGTGTTAATGCATCCACCTTTCAATCTCTGAAGGAAAAAGCTTTCCCGACGCTCATGTCAGGGCCGTTTTCCAATATGACGTGGTTGGATATGTATCTGTTCGCTTGGAAAAACATGACAAAAGAAAAAGCACTCGAGTTTCCTTTTTACCGAGAATTTATGTGCGAAAGACTGGGAAGTGAAGGTTGCGAGCTATTATACACCAGATACGTTGACAAGAGAGATTTCTACGAAGAAAGTACATTATACATATACGAACACGATAAAGCTGTCAGCAATTTTTCAAACAATTTCGTCAAACCAAGAGGCGGTATATCAGATATTACAACAGCACTAAAAACTTCTGCACAGCGCTTTGGTGCAAAGTTGGTTTTAAACGAGAGCGTAAATGGTCTGGAAAGGAAGGAAGGGGGTTATGCAGTTCATACCGATCGTTTCAAAGTGTCAGCCAAAAAACTAGTTATTGCTCTTCCGACTCTTCCATTTGAATCCATTACGGGAGATGTAGCTGCGGATGTCAAAAGTAATGTATTATTTGGATCCATTCAGGGGGCAAACGCATTCAAAGCAGTGGCCATTTATAGCTCTGCTTGGTGGGAAGATTACCTTCCCAATTTGAACCGATCCGAGCCAATCGTCGAAACATTTTGGTCAGCATCGACATGCATGGTGTTAGTGCCTTATAAGTAAGTGAAAGCGGAATTTCTATCTGGTTTACGCTCTATGACCATTATGTGTTTTTGCTGTTATAATTCTAACTTGGTACCATTGTCACTCCGGCTAAAGTTTTGTTGGTAGTCTCTTTATCACGCTCACTGTAACACGAGAAACAGTCATCATTACTTCCCAGCAAAAAAGGAAAACCGGAAAGAAATACATCTTTCACCTCCACCTACCATTAGTCTGTTTGCTCTCTTTTACCATGTGCCTTCGCACGACTTCCCTTTGCCATATGGAAAAGAAACTGCTCCAGTCGCCACATTTCCCCCTCATATTTCCTCATTTTTAAATTTTCTCTCTATTTTGACTAAATTACGGCTATAGGTTTGAATGATGAGCGGAAAACCTGTTCTTATTCTTTGAAAGGTGTTGGGGACACAAAAAACGAGGAAATGACATATCTTTCACGAGTTGGGTGGCCCTAGTGAATAATTTTAAGATATCGATCAGCAAACATAACGGGAGTGTACCACTTTTGTTTTAAGATATTTGACATTGTCTTCATCATTGTTGTATTTTATTAAGTGGACGAGGACCTCAGGGAGAAGCCGTTATTCAACTGACATATGCCTGGTTGGGTTGCGCTGCAAAGTGGGGCAAGATGTCCAAGCTGCCTAGAGCAGGCTTTGAGGTGGAGATAAAGAAAGCTGTCCAAGAAGTGTTTCCAGAAAAAGATGTACCAGATCCATTGGATATGGTGTTCAAATTTTGGGACAGAGTCGCTTGGTGCGTACGCTAACCTTGTAAATGAAATAGTCTGTTTTATTTCATACACATTGAGAGTTATACAGTAAAGTACTATCGTTCGAGTCTCTGATTGGACGAACGATGTATTTTCATAGGCGTTCGCTTCCAATCTTTGAAATGCGCCGGTCAGTGAGAAATAAAGACATCATACCATGAAAAGTGCTTGAGCCAATTTTATTCACTCGTTGCGATGCATCTACAAATCACTCGTTCGCTCCCGCTCGTTGGTTTTTTTCCTTTTTTTTTTATGCATCGTAACTCGGGAATGAAAATAGTTCGTGCCCAGTGTCCATGGAATAATTTTTTGTTCATTATATAGCAAGGTACTCCCGAGGTAAATCCAAGCGTTCTCATTGGTTCTTATTAAGTCTGTATTTAGTAATTTCTAATATTTTCCTTAGTTGAAAAGACCTTTCCAAAGTAAGATGTTTAGATGAGTCGAACGTGTGGCTCACCACTTCCTAGATGATGGGCTCCTACGTTACCAACTGAATTCCTATGAGCCAGATTCTGTTATTTTATTTCCATATATCCCGTTCCTTATAAAGTAGTTTGCATAAAGAATTTTGATCGGCCTAGCCTTGTTAGACTTAGGCTGGTACTTATTCCACCGTTTCGAATAAGGGAGTTCCCTCTGTCACAGAAAGTTCTGTATTTGTCTAAGTAGCGAGATCTGGACCATCTTGTATATTTACATTTATTCATATCTCTATTTAACAGGCATGTGACAAAGGCAGGGTCCAACGTGAGCCGACACGATGTGAAAAACTGGGCGAAACGTCCTTTCCCCGGAGAGGAAATTTACTTGGTTGGGGAGGCGTATTCATTAGAAGATGGATGGAACGAAGGAGCTCTTTCGAGTGCGTACAGCGCCCTCGAGGAAGGATGGGGAATATCAAATCCTGGGGAATATTGAAAGAGGAGCCGACATAGAGCCAGGTTATCTTTTAAAAAAATAATTTTTGATTTTCGGAATCCTTCCTTTCTTTTTTTTTTAACCATGATCACATGTCTGTGCGAAGTTTTGAAATCCGAAAATACTGTGGACCTTTAATGCGACTTCAGTGTACGTCAGTAAAGAAATGAGAGTAGGGTAGTCTGAGATCATAAAGGAATGGACGTGACTGGTTAGACGTTCTGTGAAACAGCATGAAAGGAGTAAATGTTACTTTACCCAATGAGTGAATGTTAGTTAAGATGAGCTTACATCACCGCGGAAAAAAATTCTACAGATTGTAAATTCTCTGAAAGCTGGAACTTCAGTGCAGAACTCTTGTCCTAAATTGGAAAGTTAGAGTTGTAAATTAAAGTATGGATTTTTGGGGAAAACCGTATAAATTGGATAAAAAAGCTGTAATAAATAATGAGAATTCACAACAAACGTAAACAAACGTCCTGCTTTTACGTAAGGGACCTTTCTCTTGACAGTATCGGTAACTTTTCGGAGCTAAGCTTTACTCTAATTATGAGTCTTATTGGTGGCAGTTCAATTGGTGACTGTACAAGCAACAGTTTATTCCTGCTCCTTAATTCGAAACAAAAGTTTAGTCAATTACTTTGCCCCCTTGCTTGATTAAATGTAAGTTATTGATCAAAATAAAAAAAAAAATTGACAAGAAAAAACTGTATGTGGCTACTGATAAAGCACAATTCTTATCGCAATAAAAAGAACTAGATGTTATATAATAACGCTAGAAGGTACCAAATGAATTTGAATATATGAAAATCATATATGTGCACTGCAGTATTAGGAACTGTATGAAAGCGTTCCTCGCATCAATGAACACTACTTTACGTTTTGCGTTTTTTTCGATTCGTACTGCTTCGTCTCCGGCAAAAACAATAAAGAAAATAGCCGAACATGATTAAGATTTTACGCCAGCAAAGTTCAAGTTTTTTCTGCAGTTTCTTTGTCATAGTCTTTATCTGTTCTCCTTTTGCAAATTCTGTGATTGTCCTAAATAATAACTAGCCAAATATAGCCCATTGGACCAAGAATCAGTTTGTTTGCCGTTTTCTTCCAACGCATTGGTAACAAGAGACGAGTAAAACATTGATATTTTCAATTCAAGTAAACGTTTATGAATGGGTCAGGTGATTGAATTTTCCTTGCTACGAGTCTCTTGAGCGATTGGAGATGCTCCTTTCAGAACGAGACTTACATTCCAGTACTGAAGTAGACATGATTTTTTATCAAGATGAAAAACGCGGGGGATGGATAATTAAAAATTTTTTGAATTGACACTTGATGAACAATTTATTGCATCTATTTATTTTATTCTTGTATAGGAATTCTATCCCACGAAATTTCTTTCAAATTTTCCTTGATTATTCAGAATAGCGACTGCAGCTGAACTACAAGTGAGTTATATGTGGGCCGCAATTAGCTGTTTATCGCAATTAGCTCAAAGTTGAGTTTTATCTAAGTACGCACAAATTAGGGCCAAGAGGAAATTCCCTTGTCACACGCAAAGACATCGACAATATCATTATTTGATATGGGTAAACTTTCTTGACAGAATAAATAGCATATCTAGATAACTGTCATGTGTTAGAGGCGACAACTAATTGAAAGATTCTCCCTGTATTGCATTAAATTCAGAACTCCAAAAAAGCTTTGTAAAACGGCCTAAAAGAAAAAGAAGTGAAACTGAGGGACAGTTAATCGATCAGATGTGGTGGGCGTAGATGTAAAAAAAAGTTGGAGACAACCTAACGATACACCAGGAACAAACTGGATATAAAGAGACCCATTATATTAAATATTTTAAAAGAAAAGACGAGTATATCATGTTTATTTGAAATTATTCCGGTTTAATCCTAAAGAAATTTTAGAAAAAAACCACCGATCTGAAAGACAACTCTGTAACAACAGCTAAACTTCGTGAGCATTTACAAGTAACAAAAACATCTTCAAATGATGATAAACAAGAGAGATTTTTCTGATCACAAAACTCGTGACTGAAACTTGCACGTTTGGCAAAATGGCGTCATACCGTTAATTGCCCGCTTTCAAAAAGGAAAAAAATACAGTTAAAATTATATTTTTAACTATTTTTCCAAAATCTTCGTCAGCTCGAACAACTTTTTTATAAACTATTCTCTGAAGCATTTTTCCGATGCCTTCATACTGCTTAGGACAATAAGCATGAAAGTATAATGCATGAATCCTTTTTCGTCACCTATGGCTTATTGTATTCATGATAAAGTTTGATGGCAAGAAACGTTCTGTTGAAAACTGAAGATGTGGTTAGTGTCTGCACTGCCTTTCCATCAGCTGTTTAAGCGTAACTATAAAAAGACGCCGAGTTCTCCGATAATAATTGTGACTTCATGGGACAAATTTGAAAGTTAAAAAAAAAAAGAATGTAACTCCAATAAGATCTAAATCCATGGATAGCAAAGTGCCTGTCGTATTGTCTGCTTTACTGCTTGTCTTACTTCACTAATCTTCCAGCAGTAAAGAAATGGATTTAAGGTAGAGTTAAAATAAACTAAGAAAACTACTACTTGCCCCAATTCAACTAAGTGCGATGAACGTGTTTTACTGTCAGCAACTACAGTTACCACTATAAAGGATGGTACATAGCAAACTACCAGTGCTAACTGCACCCACAGTGAACTGTACAATGCCTTTTTGTATCGCGCCATGTTCAGTGCATTTGGTTGGCTCGGCTGTTGTTGGACATGATCTTGTACTTGAGCGTGATGATGACTGAGACCCTGGAAAATATTTATATACGAGGCGACTGAAATAACAAGGCAAGATGGTATAATTATAATGCCAGACCAAATAAGTATACGGTAATCTAATGTGTAGCATAAAGCAATAACACTAGATACAATCCTAAAGGTAGCTACGATGATGTATGTGCGCTTCAAAGTTACAATTTGTCTGTATCTTAGCCCCAACAGCAGCGCGAATAGCCTGTCCACGCTTATGGCCGTTATCGTCATGAAAGACACTTCACATAATGCATAGCCTGTGATGGTGGCTGCGTCATATGCGTATCGACAAAGACTCCACTGTTCGTGAACCAAGGAAATCCAGATAGTAGTTTGGAGGGGCTGGCTAACAAGACCAACCAACAGATCAGTTGTTGCCAGACAACGATACAAGAGTTTGGACGGCAGATGTAGGGAAGACTGTTTGTGAAGGGCAACGAGGATAAGAAAGTTCCCAAGAAATGCTGTGATGGAAAGGAGAATATGGATTGTTAAGAAAGAAATTTTAAATTCCTGTTGAAGCACACCAATCAGAGAAGGGGAGCAATGTAGTTCTTGTAATTTTTTCGCTTGTGTTCCACCTCCATTGAAATTTGTTGTCGACATTATTCTGGGTTCGTTTCCTTTTTCTTAGACTGAGGTTATCTGAGAATGCAACGAGAAATGTTTCGTCTAAACAGCAACACAACGACGGTCAATAAAACCTTACTCAGTTCCTACTTAATGATCATATAAAAACTTCCTCGTTATCGTTTACTCGTTTGAAAAACGTCACAGAGAAAATTGTCTGTTGTGTCAAAAAGCCTATATTTGTCGATTTAACTTGTCAGGTACAACCCGTATGAAATAGGAATAAGATGTAAATATATAAAACACCTGTAACATTCCTTTTTTTTTTACGTTGCGACCTAGAATCCCTCTTTACTTAGCCCACGGGCAGGCGCTCATTATCAACGCTTCAGTACGAGTTACTTTGCTCGTGAATAAGTTTGAGGCCTTGATCAACACGGCTCGTGGGCGAAGGAGCGACGTGCCGCAGTTATTAGCTCTTTATCTCAATAAGTAAAGTTTAATTTAACTACAATTTAACAGTCAGGTTAAATCTATCAGCAAACTCGAAGTCATCAGCTACATCATTGTTTGAAAATACAATAAGGGAACTCTCTTTTGCGACTTTTTAAAGTAGTGAAAAATGCAATAATTAGATATGCTGTTGTTTTCTATGGCCGATTATTTATTGGAAATATTCTCCAAGTATTTTGGTCAATTCTTAATTCAAATAAAACTTTGTAAAACGACTTTGAAGAAAAAGAAGTGAATATTAAGAACAGTTGATCATTCGGAAATTGTTAACATAGAATCAAGAACACTTGGAGACAACTAATTTCATGAGTAATATTTTTTCAAATAGAAACGATCACTGAAGTCTTGCTCTTTTAACCATAATCACAGAAAGACGTCCTCATTCAAAAGGCATCAGAAAAGTTCCTGTTGTGTCAAAAAAGTCATTTTATTCGTTGAACATGTCAATCACATCAAGTATGAAATAACAATACGGAGCGAGCAGAGAGGCATCTTTTATAATACTTTTCTCACCGTGCGACAAACAGACCCCCTTTCCCTGGATCAACTTTAGTTATAACATTGTTGTAAATTCGTGCAATCAAATTCAATTGCGCGAGCGTGCTCAAGAAGTTAGATTTGCTCTCGGCTGCGCCTCCAGCAACTCTTACGCATCTTTCGTGCTCTCCAAACTTCCCGCGTGCTTCAATTCTCGATGAACGCACGCTGACTCATGAACCAATTGTTAATTGATAGGGAGCTTATTAAGTGCCATATTATTTGTGAGAGGTTGACACTATAATCGTCATCAGCCTCGGCAAGCTGAAAATGGAGAAAGATCGCAACTCAAATTTAACGTTAAATCCATTATTTCATTCATCGGCGTAGAATCGAAATTTAGTTAATTCTTTTATTCCAAACAGCGACCACGGCTAAACTACTTGACAATTATATGTGGGCGGCTATTAGCTGTTTATATCAACGAGTTAAGTTGAAGTACCATTTAAAAAACGAGTAGCAGTGTTTTATCGGGTTTAAAAACACGGGGCGTAGCCGAGTGTTTTCAGACCCGATAAAATACGTGCTGCGAGTTTTTTAAATAGCTTCAAAGACCCGTGCCTCTCTTGGGATTTTTCCAAACGTTATACGAATGCATTAAATAGCTTCAAAAACCCGTGCCTCTCCAGGGATTTTTCCAAACGTGATTCGATTGCTTTAAAAGTTAATTACATACAGAGGGGAAAAGTGCTCCTTGTTCGGCTGCTGTTAAAGTTSAGAAAGCTCTCCCTTGAAATGCCGCCCAAACGCGTGTTTCGAGAACCAATAAATGCGAAGGAAGAGAAAGATTACTTGGATAGTTGTGTRCCAAGGGCTACTCGGTATGCCACAAAGTGGGCTTACAAAATTTTTGGCGAGTGGAAAAGTTCAAGAAGAAATAAAGACGCGAACTTGGAGGAAATAGGATTTAGAGTTGAAGTTGAGAGTATTCGAAACTGTACAATTCATTTTGTGAACAATGGGAAATTGTAAAAGAACGAATTTCTGTTCTAACTAGAATTTATCAGGAAATAAACTTTGTTGTTTACTGCGGTTAATGTTTTTGTATGCTGCCTTTTGGGGAATAATTTTGGTATTATAATTAACGTGATCTTTTTAGAAAGATCTCTAGTGATCTTTATACAAACATATTTTCATTAATAACTCAGTGATGATTTCGTTGTTTATGAATTGTAACCCGATTTCCCCCGAGACCGAAATCAAAACCCTCTCCGGGCTTTTCAGAATAATCATTCTATACCGTCGATAAAGGTTCATACACGTGATCGATTTGCCTCATGTGATAGGCTAATGAGCTCATGTATTATTAATGATTTTTTTAAATTTAAATTCAAATTAGCATCTAAGCCAAATCCCTTGGCAAAAACAAACACGTCAGCTGCCTTACCGTTTGAAATTACAATATTACTAAGGGAACTTTCTTTTTGTCACTTTTTTAATGATGGAATAGGCAATATATTGAGATATGCTGTCATTTTCTGGGGCCGATAATTATGTAGAAATATTCTTCCTGTATTATAATAAATTCTGAACTACAAAGAAGCTTCATGAAGTGACTTTAAAGAAAAATGAGTGGGAAGTTAGGGACAGTTATCCTCCCGAAAGTGATAGAGATAGGATCAAATATAACTTAGGAACAACTAGAATCTGAATTAGCGACGGAACTGTTCGATATCTATGGCAACCCTTTGAATTAATTAACTTTTATGGTTGACTATACTCTTTATTTGAATTCCTTTTCTTCGCCGTTAAAGTGTAAATTCAGGAAACCGATCGATCTGAAAGTGAAGAAAACTCTAAATTAACCAGTTATAGTCAATTTTGTTTCATACGCATTCCTGAAGTTTGTTAATATGCACAAGCAACAAAACCACTTTGCATATTCATAAGCATTACTGACATTTTTCTGATAAAACAAATTTGAGACTAAACGATGACCAATGCAACTCATTTGGCAATATGGTGTCGATACCAAGCACTTTCTTTAAGTTAGGAAAAAAACTGAAATTGTTTTATCGTAACAAAAAAGTACCTAGAAAAACTCTCTCAAACTACTCTTTTAAGTTTTATCCAATACCTTTACTAAAAGGAGATTAAGCATGATACTAAAAATCTACCGAACTCAACAAGCAATTTTATTGAAATGATTACCCCATTAGAAGCGAGAGCCCCACAGGGCTTTGCACGACAGAAATCAATAGTATTGTTTTATGATTGACATAAATCAACGTAAAAAAACATAAATTAATTGGTAAAATATTCACAACAGACTATGTACAAACCTCGAACAACAATATTATTTTAGGCTTCTTTTTTCTCGCCATCTAATAACATATTTGATTAGCGTTCTCATGTATTATTTGTGAAGTTATGACTCTTAGCTCTGAAAGTACTTATACAAATATAACTCGAGGAAGGTCTAACTCCGTTGTGCTTGTCTGATTGTCTGCTTCACTGCTTGTCTTACTTCACTAATCTTCCAGCAGTAAAGAAACGGGTTTAACGTCGAGTTAAAGAAAACTAAGACAGCCGCTACTCCTCTTATGACTACTAGGTAAGATGAATATGTTTTGCTGTTAGTGATTACAATTTCCACTATAAAGTATGGTGCATAACAAACTACTAATGCTAATTGCACCCACAGCGCACTGTACACTGCCTTTCTGTATCGCGCTATGTTCAATGCATTTTGTTGGCTCTGCTGTTGCTGAACACGATCTTGTACTTGAGCTTGATGATGACTGAGACCCCGAAAAATCTTTATATACGAGGCCACTGAAATAACAACGCATGATGGTATAGCTATATGGCCAGACCAAGTGGGTATACGGTAATCTAATGTGTAGCATAAAGCAATGACACTAGATTCAATCCAAAAGGAAGTTATAATGATGTATGAGCGTTTCAAAGTTACGATTTGTTTGTACCTCAGCCCCATCCACAGGGCAAGGAGTCTGTCCACGCTTATAGTGGTCATTGTAAACAAAGATACACCACATAACGTATAGCTTGTAATAATGACTGCGTCATATGCGTATCGACAGAAACTCCAGTGTTTGTGAAGCACTGACATCCAATAAGAAGTCATGAGAGGCTGAGAAACGAGACCAACCAACAGATCAGTTGTTGCTAAACAACGGTACAAGAGTTTGGACGGCGGATGAAGGGAAGATTCCTTTTGAAGGGCAACAAGGATGAGAGTATTCCCAAGAAACGCTGTGATGGAGAGGAGAATGTGGACTACTGAGAAAGGAATTGATTCTTGTTGAAGCCCTCCAACCAAAGAAGGAGAACATAGCAGTTCTTGAAATGTTTTCGTTTGTATTCCACCTCCAGTGAAATTTGTTGTTGGCATAATTCTATATATGTTTTCTTTTCCTTAAAGGTTATTTGTGATTGAAACAGGAAATACAGGAAATATTTCGTCTGAACAGTACACACCCAGTCACGATCAATGAAACCTTACTTTTGGAATAATATTCAAATTAAGTCTACCTCAACAGCGTTTACTCATTCAAAATGCGTCAAAAATATTGTCAATTGTTTCCAAAAAGTGAATTTTCTTCTGGAACCCATGAAGTGCCTCAGGTATGAAAAAGCAATAAGATGAAAATGGAGAGACATCTGTGTTATCAATTTTTTTAACAAGGCGACGTACAAACAATCCTTCTTTACCTGCATCAATTATCTTTGAAAAGATAACCAAGTGTCCAAATCATCCAGTCATGAATCATTATCAGCCTTGAAAACTGGAAATAAAAAGCTCAAGATAGCGATTTTACTTAGTCTGAGAAAAAAGTTGGATTCTTGAAATTTTCCGAATGCGTCTCAATATTTAAATTCAAATTTTGGTCATAGGCACGAGCTTCTTTTAAGATGTTTTAAATAAATTTAAAATGAAAAAAGTTTGCAGCTTTTTCTCTCTTCCTTTTGCATCCCGGACCAAAATTAAAAACAAAACCGTAACAAGATGTTTTGCTACCAAACCATTTTTGCAATTTCTTTCTCTACCTTTTCTATTTTTTTTCACCAGTAAATGCGTAGTGATTGTATTTTTATGCAAGAGCTGGCAAAAGTTTGCCGATGGGGCACGGTAATGTATTTTTCAGCTACTTTCTTTACTCATCCCCTCTATTGACGAGATAAGAAAAATGTGTTAATATCAAGCAAGCTACAGGGGATTCAAATCTTGTTGTAGCCATTATATCTGGACCATTAATAATGTTCCTTATAATGTAAATTATAAGGAACATGAACAATTGTAGGGTCTTAGCGTGCGGAATGTTTTTTTTGTTTTTCTCATTCAATCAATCATTAGGGTGTCTCTTTGTGTTGTCGCTGTTTCTCGTTGTTCGTTAGTATTTTTTCGCTGGTTATTTAGCTTCTGTTGTTTCTATGTCACTTCGTTATATAGTTTCTTTCGTAATATAGGCGCTAATTGCACTTTAAGTTAGCTAGTCGTTTTCGCATATATAAATTAGTTTTTCTCAGTTCAGAGTTTAGTCTTCCGTTAGTCATACAGTAGTTCGGTTTGAGCAGTTACTCCAGTTTATCTTTATTTCGCCTTTGGGCAGTTTATATTCGTCCAGCAGTTTCGTAGAAATCGTAACAATGCAAGTACTGTCATTTCAAGTTCGTTCAGTTCGTTCAGTGTATTTCTTTCCTGTCACTTTTACTAGTCAATTGTTGTAATTTCGTATTCATTTATTGTTTTAAGTTTCAACCCACATACCGTCAACATCATTCGTACCGAATTTATAAATAGTCTTTATCATCGTGGTGTTGTGAGGTTACGATTACTGCAGTTACAATAATGTTCCTTATAATGTAAATTATCTCATAATCAAATTATCTCATAATGTTCCTTAATGCTCCCTGATTAAGGCATTAGACCGAAGTTTCGAAATTTTGGGTCTATGAATTGTAACTTCTCGTTTACATTCATTAAATATTTAATATAGAGTAGCATCAAACCATATCTGATTGTTCACCTTGTTGCTTTGTGAACTTTACTATATCCGATATTTCTTGTATTGCGACATCCTGATACTGAAGTGAAGAATAAAAAACAATGTACAGTCATGGTAAGAAATCTTTGGATGAATGACTTTATACCTGAGAAGACGGAGTTTCAAATAAAATCTAAAATAACAATACTATCACAGATGTCTGTAGGTTTGACTCTAGGTGCCAATTTATTGCTAAATTAAACTTTACCGATTAGACAAACTTCTAGGTGTGGCGCAAAATAGACTCCAGCCTTTATTCGGAGACCTGCATGGTATGTACAAATTTTTTTAACAATACTTAGATTAAAGTAATAATATGGCAAACATATTAATTTTAGGGTTTGTTTCCAGTTTCGAATTCTATCCGTCCACGCTGCCACTTAGAAGAAGACGATTTTGCATTCTGGCTTGTTTTGTTCCGAAAATAACGGCTAAAAGTTTAAATTTCAGGTAACCTGAGAAGCAGAAACTACAAATGTCGATCAGTGTTAGCTTTTTATTCGGAATAGTAACGATTTTTCGTCCCCAAAACGGCCTGTTGTCTTTTCGACGAGCGCGTTGATGATTTTTCATCTCAATTGCGTGTCAAGGAATAGCGTGTTTTGACCTCAGTGTCACTTTTGTTTGGGGTCCGAAAATTTCGTGGTTTCCGTAGCCCAAAATTTAATTAAAATCATTTGAAGAAGAAACCTTCTTCTTTCGCTCGATTAACTTGGTATAACCCCATGTCACTGTGCCAAGGTGAGATTTTAATTTCTCAATTTTGCAATTTTTTGTCCGCCAAAATGAGTGAATTATTGGAATTACGAAGAAGTTGCCCAAAAATTTAGTTCGTAACAGAATCGGACTAATAATTCTTCAGACTGTTCGTAAATACGTGTTCTTTTCATTAAGAAAATTAATGGTCACATTAACTGTTTTGTTTATTTTCAAGCGACGTTCAAGTAATAGGTTGTCTGGACCCTGTGAAGGTGAAGTGACAGCCACCAAACCGATTTTCGCCGCCGTTCGCGTAGAATAAAAACATGGAACATGAAACTCAAAGTATTTTTTCTAGAAAAAATTCATCTAGACCTATATTTGGCAAAGTTTGGGGGTTTTCTATTTTTTTATATCGCATACCTCCGGGCGATATTTCGGGATGGCCGCTGTTGAGTAGTAGTGAAAACAGGCCTAAAAAAACTCAGGCCTGTACGGAATTTGAACCCATAACCTGCAAGCTACCGTTGCTGTGCTCTACCAACTGAGCTAACAAGCTTTCATACATTTCTCACAGCTGTATTCAATGTAGGCTCCTGTTGCGCGATCAAAGGAAAATTTCCGTGTGAAGGGTAAATGGTTAGAAGCCCAAGGACGATAGGTCACGTGTTCAATATGGAGGAAAGACCAGACTCTCGGTGCGCATGGCCTTCTGTTAGAAGAAAGGACGGCTTGTCAGATTTCACGAAAGAAAAGAAACTTTCAAAAAAGAAGTTTAGTTCTTTTCACAATGTTAATGACATACCTGTACTTTTGCTAACAATCGAAGAGGATCGTTAAGAATTATTTTTGTCTTTACCTACACCAGATGGGCGACGGTTAAGCAGAACTAAATCTCTGCACAAGCGTTTTAAGACTTTCCACATCTCTTAGTAGCCCTCTGATAAACAAAAACAGGAAATCGCCAATTATGTTTTGGTCGTGAAAAGTACCAAGTAAGTCAATTTTTCATGACTTCAACAGAAGTTGACGAGCAGTAAGAAACCCATTTTGTTATTCCGACGATGATGCCAAAAATCTGAAAAATTTTTGAAAATAAGTGCTTAAAAGTTTTGAGCGTCAGTACCAACTTAACCATTTTATCCCTAACAGTGATTAACATCTAATTTCTCTTTACCATACCACCCCTGAATCAAACATTAAGGTATAGAAAATGGTATGAAGAATATGCAGACTGCTGATAGGGTGTAAAGTGTTATTATGGCTCAGGATTTGATATTTCCCATCCTTCCTTTAGGGCGTTGTAAGCTGTCAAAAGGGCTCCTTCGTTCCACTCGGGCAGGGATGAATACGCTTCGCCAACCATGTAAACTTCCTCTCCAGGGAATGGACGTTTCGCCCATTTTTCCAGATCGTGTCGACTTACGTTGGAGCCAGCCTTTGTCTGTTGCCTGTAACGTAGAAGAGTAAATATATCGCTTACTTTTTAAAGGAATCAAGATCCACCACCAGTGGGTGGCGAAAGTAGTTGGCACACCTTCCCTCGACAACCCTCTAATCAACACGATGAATAGAAATCTTGTAATTCATCGTTCATAAGTTACTTGATAGTTTCGTCTTCCCCTTCCCCCCTCCCCTCAAACAACGTTGCAGGAAATTAAACTTTGCAAACACTAGGCAACACCAGGCAACACTGAAATACATAGGGGAGAGGGGGCGATAACTGAAAGACAGTAAAGGAAGAGCGGATATGTCATTTACCAGAACACCAACACAATTTTTAAAGTCGCCTTTCATTTCCAAACACTTATATACGACACTCTCAAGATATTTTAAAAAACCTTTTTTAGTGGAACTTCTGTGAACACAATATACTTGGGAAATTTCTGACCATTGTTTATCCTTTTTAGACGTCAAAGTTTCAATTGAAGGTAACGGTTTATGCACTGTTGTGTATTACAAACCTACAGACTCGCATAATTACTTCTTATATTCGTCTTCGCATCCATCTCACGTTAAGAATTCCATTCCTTTTTCTCAGTTTCTAAGACTTCGTCGTTTATGTAGTGATGACTCTGATTTCCACCACAAATCAGAGTCAATGTGCCAGTT